TCAAAAATAACTATGTACAGACGTAACTACGCCATCGAAGAACAAAAAGAGAATTCATACGATTTCTACCTGGCGAAATCGAATTCAAATCTCAGCCACCGTGCTTTCTAAAACTTGCAAAGCAAACAGCTTGATGAATAAATCGGCAAGGGAATCTAAGATTGCATTCCAAATGCCGTTCATCATTGCCAAAATTCATAGTGAATTCAATTTCTAGTACTCCAAACGAAGTAAAGAAATAAACAAAATGACGGTATTAGATAATAATACCGTCATTTTGTTTATAAGGACAAGATTTATAGAGCTCAATAAACTGGACCATGAACTCTTTTTCTTTCTTTGGCAATATTATTGCAAACAAAAATCACAAAATAACATACAACATAGCCTATCTATGCAGGCAGTTCTCTGCACAAATTATTAGTGACCAAAAACCCGAAAATTAAAGAAACCTACACCACATGCAAATTATCTGACCATCCAGATTTTCCTTGAGCCAAACTTTATGGCTTGCGCAAGTGAAAATTTTCGTTTTCATGCGCCAATTTGCTTGCACAAATTGTCATGCATTGGCATCAAGTCAATTTGCGCAAATTGTATGAGCATGAAACATAAAAAAAGTAAAGTTTGAAAGCCAAAACTTATAATACAAGGGCAAACACAAAATGTGGAACGTAAAAATCAAATATCGATCAAATATATTTCATTTAATTCTAACAAATATTCATAATTCAATAAACTGATTAAATTTAGTGTACATAAATTAAATAGTATCCATGCATTGTTAAATTGCATGATTTTGATTATTTAATTAATTTATATTTGCACATTAAACCGTTCGTTTAAAAATTGTCTTTCGTAAATTTAAGAAGGATAATTAACTAAAATAAATGCAAAATCTCACCAGGGGCGCTATCAATTTTTGACAAAAAGCGGACCTTCAATTAACTGTTTAAAATATGAGCTTTTTATTTAATTATCCGTTTTTCCAACGAAAAGTTTTCTCTTCTCTTAAATCAACTCGGGCCGAAAGAGGATCCTCTTTTGTAGAGAAGTAATTTGATCTTGAAAAGTTTTAACTACATTGCAGATAATCTTTGTCTACATCTTGGGTTAGCTAGATTTCTACAATTTTAAACTATGTACAGAGTGTTCCACGAAGATGGTAATTAATAAAAGATCGCTTTTGAATCAAATCGCAATTTTTGTTGTAAAATCCCATTTAGATACCAATGATATTCAATTCTTAAAAAACTTATATTGAGAACGAGAACAGAGATCATTCGTGAGGCTAGACCAAGACGAAACGGACGAAGTACTTGTACGAGGAGTTTGTACATAATGGACTACCTATGTCTGACATCACAATAGGCGGGGCTTAGTAGACCTTTACAAACAAATCTGTTTTACATGTAGTTCTCTCATAAAAAGTTGGAAATGTTAATTTTTTTAATATTGTTAAGAATAAATTATAACTTTTGATTCTGAACATTTATTCTGCGTGATTGGTTTTATATGTCATTCGTGAATTTGTCACGAATCAAATTTGTTTGATTAAAACATGAATTATTTTTTTCTTTATTTTAAGGTTGTTTTGTTGTTTTTTTATCAGGGTGATTTTAATGTAAATCAATAAATCATAAAATTTATTTATGAAGTTGGAAAAATATTTAAATTAATATTTTATTGTTTTTAGTTGCCAGTGATTTTATCCTGTAAAAGACTAAAGATATTCGTGTAGTTTAAGTACTGAATAAGGGCTTTTAGTTGTAATAATAACATTCTGTGGAAACCTTTCTATCAAATTGCCATAGTGAGTGTATATGTATCTATCAAGCTATGTATATAAATCTTATCGATCTAGGTTTGCAAATGAGTATAGAGATAGGATTGCTTTAAAAAGATAAGTATTTTTTTAAGTAGTGCAAATAATATCTTGCACATGATTCTTTGATACTACTAGCTTTGTAATTTAGAATATCAAAGACAATCATCATATTGTATGTTAGAAGATATCAAATGATAAAAATTAATAAAAAATATTAGGAATTGATCATCAAAAAATTTTTCATATTACAACAATGCTATCATGTCATAAATTTGTTTATAATTTAATTTGTAAAGATTTATTTATACTTTCAAGAATAAAAGCTATAAGCAACATTTAAGATTCCAAAACCAAATTAAAAGATATATTTGTTGTCCAGCATAAAGCAATTTTTAAAATGACACAGTTTAATAATTTTTAATTGTTTGAGAATTGTATATTGTATATTTTAGTGGCATTTTTTATACTTCTCTGTAAATATATGTTGCGTGGAGTTAATAAATCAACAAATAAATATTTCTTTAAAAGTTCACACTTTAATTGGCTCAAGTACAAAATTTGATGGATGTCACAGATCCAAATTTTTCTATCACCATCTACATTCATTATTTTCTTTTTACAAGAATAAAAGTTACACATTCTCACTAACACCAATAAAGTACTTTATGAGTAATACTCCTCAACTTCTTTAATAAGAGAGTATTGACAATTCATTAAAGCAGCACATAACATGAAATTTCAATGTTATTTGAGACATGTAGAAATTTAGAATTTGCTGCCCTTTATTTGAACACTTTATACTACTGATCGGCCTCTCAACATGTATCCTAGCTTTTGCTATGGTTTCTGTTTCATACACCTGTGTCTCTGTAAACTGAGGGGTACTTAGAAAAGGAGGAATATTTAAGTGTACCTCCTCAGTCAATAAATGTTTAATAAGGAAACCTTTGTCTGCTAAAATAACATTGCCATAGCTCATTTGGTCTAGAATCTCACAGTTTTTAACAATTTGTTTGTAAGAATTGGATCCAGAATAAGCAATGCTGATATATGTGATGACACCATTTGGTGCTACTCCTATAAGAACCTTCTAGATGTCATGATTCTTATAAGAACTGTATGTTAATTTTTGTTTTTCCATACTTTTAGTAGTAACTGAGTATACTTCTGTACAATCTAAAAGGTTCCTACAATTTCTAAATGATAAAAATGTAGTTGGAAAGCATGCTTGATTGTTTTTTCTTGTGGGTATATTTTCCATCAGTTGTTTAAATAAAATTTCATGCAGCGCATATATCCATGTCATCACAATATTGGTGACAGTGACTATGCTGTAATTAAACCTCATTGCCAAATTTTCATGTGGTAGATTTAACCTCAATTTCATGAGTGTCACTAGCAATTGGTAAAATTTTTACTTGCCAGTTTGCGTAATAAGTTAATTCAAAACCTTCCATACTTTCAAATAATGTTGAGTACATAGCACTAGATGATATTCATGTGTACATTAAAATATGAGCAGTATTATTTTTTTAATTTGTTTAAAACTAAACCGACCTAAAAGATTTTTAAATTTTTCAGTTAGTTGATTTACTTCCTCTTTAAGAAAGTAATTGTCTGCCCCTACAGATGAATAACTTCTTTCTGGTAGAGATCCAGCCACTTTTTCTGTGTGCATTGATGTAGAAGTCTGTAGTTGCTGAGCCTGTCTTTTGCTAAAAGAAAGTATTTCTATTATATTAAGATATTGATTTAAATTTGAATATAAGCTTACCGGTTTATTGAAGTGGAGGACAGAAACTTCCTCTTTATGTTATGCTCAAAAATTGTAGGTCTATTTTTCCTATCTTGGTCCACAAAATGACGACTACAAACTAAGGAATAATAAGATGGTTCTCTATCTTGCCTCCTGAAAACACACAAAAATAAAGATATTAATTTTTGCCTAACATACAAATAGCATAATTTCATTTTAAATTATCTTTAAAAATCATGACAGTTACAAAAAGACAATCACAGAATATCTAAAATATAAGCAACATTAAAACAAACTAATAACTACTTTTACCTCATTAAATTTATTTACTTCTTTCCTTCTGAAATTTTAGAAGGGAATACAAACACTTGCACGTATTTCGTTCACTGTAATGCTTAGAGCTTGGAGCAAAGAACATAACCATTGTACTAATTAGATTGATGTAATAATAAAATGAAAGTCCTTATTCACTCTTAAATTACAGTCATTATTAAATACAAAACTAATATATTTAGTCTTTTTATAGGATAAAATTACTGGCACTTAAAAAAGAATAAAACATTAATTTAAATATTTTCAACTTCGTAAATAAATTAATTGATTTATTGATTAATTTTGAAATATCCTAATAAAAACAATAACAAAATACCTTGTAATAAAGAAAAAAAATTTAAAGTTTTAATCAAACATAATATAACTTTAAAATATGAACTTTAACAGTAAATCTCTTAATACTTTGATATTCTTACCTCACAAATTCACGAACAACAATCGCATAGATAAATGTTCAGAACCAAAAGTACTTATTTATTCTTTAAAATATTTTTAAAAATCAATATTTCCAACTTTTTATGAGAGAAGTAGACGTAAACCAGATTTGTTTGGAAAGATTTTTAAAATCCTCACCCATTGTGACGTCAAAGCTTAGGTAGTCCATTTTTTTTTGTGTGTTTTGGCTTGGACAATTGTCATTCAGCCAGTCTCAATCAAGAAAAGTTTATTAATGTAGTGTGTATGTGTTTGTGTGTGTGTAGAGTAATTGTCTTGATACTTAGCAAAGTCGACGTCATTGTCTTTGCTAAGAGACGCTAATTGTATCCGAACGGCTGCGGTCCCTCCGCTGAGTACCGATCACACAAGGATAGAAATTATTTTCATTTATTAATTTTTTTTTAATAAACGAAAACTTCCACCCAGGTGAGATTCGAACTCACGACCTTTAGGTTTAAAGGCAGGCGCTCTTACCACTGAGCCACAGAGGAGATAAGGTAGTCCATTAAAAAATAGTAAATATTTCCGTTTTTGATTTTCAACTAACCTTTTAGCAATATCAGTAAACGCTATTCTATGTAGTTAACCTGCAAGATGATTTTTTACATAATAATATAATATGCAATATGTTTATTAGATTTACCTTGTTTCAGGGGTCCATTGTAATAGTATAGTACCGCCTTCATGGATAGTAAAGTTGCCTAAGAAAGGAAATTTCAAGTCCAGTTTACGAAAATCGCCGAAGAAACGAACTAGCGTGAAGAAAAATAAACATAAGGTAAGAAAACATAAACAAAAGGACCCATTAATGAATAATTACATTGATTGCATATGCGTGTATTGGGCTAAACTTGCACTGCTTGATTACATCTGGGAGACATGTCAAAGTTTAAGACTCGATAAAAAATGAAAATGTCGAAAATAAAAAAAATTTAGAAGACTGAATTACCCTTATAGACTTGATTTTTATATATATTTATATGTAAATTGATATAAGGTTGAATGCTCGAATAAATGAACTTTGATAAAATTAAAAGCAGATTTTAAGGCCCAGCCAAAACAGGCAAGATTTAATTAATAAAATTGTGCTCGATTTCTGCCTTTAATTTTATCAAAGTTTATAAGTAAATATTGACAAACATATTGAAATGTCGCGTTCTTGTCGCATCACGTCAATTTTTAAACTTATTTCCTCTTCTATTGACACAGATATTGGCAATCGATTAGATTTACACTAAATCTGATCGTTAATGTAAAATTTACAGTGAATAGGATCCATTTCATGAAACTCTTTATATCAGTGTGACCAAAAACACCCGTTACCACAAAACTCTTTGTATTTATTCACCTCGGCGGAATTATATCCTTCCTGTTAGATCAGCTTTCATTAAAATGATCAAAATTTCTATCTCCGGTATCGATGTGACATCTAAAAACAATTTTAATTAGAGTGTACACTAATTACTATGCGGAATACGTTCAATGAGGAACATCAGCAACGGAGGTTGTATTCATTTATAAAAGGGTTTTTACGCATTAGGAATGTAGTATCACCAATTAGTCCATCATATTTCCCTGAAGAACTCTGAAATGGATTGAGTCATAGGTTGAGAACGTTCGTTAATATAGGACTTCAGGATAAGGTTCGTATCGTTAGGCAGTAAAGATTTTAATTTATATAGAAAATTTTTCTTCCAAACTTTTCTTGATTTTATTTACTATTCTATGGCACTATTGAGTTGTTAAATATTTTTGACGGAAACCAAAATGATATTCGGATATTATGTTCACAAGTGGTTCAGTTTCGCTTAGTTTATTTAGCAGGAGTCCTTTAAATATCTTGGACATTAAGGGTAATAGCCTGCGGCTCTGCTTGATCTATTTACTTGATCTTCCACTTTGGTTTCGAGATTTCAGTAGCTAGGTAATGTGATGCCTAGATATTTAAACTCCATTACTTGTTCTATTATCTTACCTTTCAGCTCCAATTTATATCTTAATAAAATTGGTGTTTTAACCATGCATTTTATCTTTTTTGGGGAAATTAACATTGGTGCAGCATACGTTGTAAATCACCTTCACTTTAAGAGAGTAGTATTAAGTCGTCTGCATAGTAAAATATTTTAAGTGGTTTTTTTTCATTTGGGGTTCTTTATTTACAAAACAGTCATCGGACCAATAATGACATACGCGGTAGAAACAAGACCTGACACAGAGAGGACAAAAAGGATGTTAGAAACAGCAAAGATGAAAACACTTAGAAAAATTGATAGTAAAACACTATGGGACAGAGCTAGAAGTACAGATATACGACGTAGATGCAAGGGGAACATCAAAAACTGGGTAAGAAATAAAAGAGTAGAATGGAACGATCATATGAGCTGAATTACAACAAATATAGTGGTAAAGACGGCGAGAGACGGTTCCCCATTAAGAAGACGATCAGTAGGAAGACCACAAAAACGTTGGAATGACAACGTATTGGAGTCAATTGAAAAACAGAGTCATGTCTATATAAAAAAAAGAAGAAGAATATGATCAAGGGTAACATGTTTATTGGACAATAGAAAGAAGTTTCTGTACTCAATATTTGGCTTACCAATCATTATATTTAATGTAATGTTAAGCATGATAACTGTTTTCCTGGGTAGATGTTTTAGAAGTCTTCCATCGATTAAATTGTTTTCTGTGGCTTTGTGAGAATTACTTAGTACTCATTATAATTCTGCAAACTTTTAATAGGGAGAATACTTTTATTAGAGGTTATAGTTGGCAGAGTGCATATAGATATTCGCTAGCTACATCATTACCTATGTTTTGATCTAAATTTGGAGTAAATATATTTTCTAAATATACTGCAAATAACTTGTTAAACTGTTTGTTCGGGCTGTTAGGTCGTTGTCTTCTGAGCTTAGTTCTCGACGTTTCGCCAACGGTTGGCAACTTCTGGAGATATTGCTTCTTCGCCCAGTGTCTCTGGAGTCTGGGAGCTTTTATTGGCACATATGACTTAAGACCGGCTTCTTTAAGTCTCTTTCTTATTGTGCGCTCAATTAAATACAAGTTTGTACTTGTTATGAACAGACAGAATGACTGTAAAATTTAAAACACAATACAAATAAACAAATTAATTTGACATTTTGACATTTAAGACTTTCTTGTGACAAGGAGCTTCCAAAGCTATGTAGATATAGTCTATAAAATACAAATATAAAGAAATATTGCATTAATAACAGGTTCCTTTAAATTTGCCGGTGTGTGCATTAAATTGTTAACTTCTCATAGCCTACTTTAGGCTTGTTTTTAAACTAAGCAGAAAATGAGGATTTAGTGATGAAAAACATGGCTAATTGTTAACGTACCTAACTTTTTTATTATTAAACATAAGCAAATGAATCAAAAAAGAAAATGTTAAGAAAGCCTGAGGCTATAATTAAGTTTTAATTTCAATATTTTATATATGCTAGAATATTCCACAGGGTGTTCCGAACTTTAAGGAAAAAACACAGTAGGATTGTTACACCCGGTATAAAGTGACATTGACCTGTCTAGCAACAATATTATTCTTAAATAATATACCTATAACATACTAAAAAAGTCACTAAAATCGGACAACAGGTTTAGGAAATCCGAGACATCTAACATGTCCCAATTTTAAGCTGTTCCGTTAATTTTTCCGGTGAGTGTATTTAAAATTTTAGTTTACACAATGTTGTTATTTTACAAAGATCATACATCATATGTGTCATTGTATGTTAAAAATATATGTTAAAAAACGTTGGATATAAATGCCTTTGCCTTAAGATTTTCATAACACGAAATCAATAAGTTTTCTATTTTTATGATTTTTACATATTTAGAATTATTATTATTATTTATTTTTATTTATATTAGTCTGGCAACATCGCATCCCGCTGAATTCCTCGCAAATGTTTTTCCTTTTTGCAATTTTTTCTTCCGCAATAAATATAAGTTTCTAATCTTTTAAACTCCTAATTACTCTACAAGTTTACAAAAACCTTACGTAAATAAAGATTAAATAAAAAACTCTGTACTGCTTTTGATAACCAGCTTGATTACAAGACCGAATCGCTGTTTTCGTGTTCTTTGTTTGAGTTTTGAATAATTTATGTGGATCTGCAGACTAGATTATTCTGTTATCTTGACGGAGAGGAGGGTATTCAGAGAATTAGATATTCAGTCAAGTCTAGAAACTTTAAATGGAGAAATGTTGCAGTAAGTAAAACTTTTGCTCTAAACGAGACAAGATGAGCGAAGTCTTATTGTTTTGTAAGGGGTGGACGTTTTATATGCTGGAAATTTGGTCAAGGTGAATCGTGGCTCATAAAAATATACGGAAAATTGAAAACGGGTTTTGAGTATTAATAAATAAATATTTAACAACTTCCATTAAGCATATTTTATCAGATCCGGAAGCTACAGGAAAGCCATAATATAAATAAATGTCCATTTTATAAAATTTATTCAATTTTAGGAAAATCTTTATCAACAAATGTCTTTGTTTACTTAGAACAAAAAAATATTTTTCTTATTGCGATTCTGAATCTTCTCTACAGCGTTCAAGATTAAATTTTCTATAACTTCTATAATATTAAGAATTAATGATTGGTTCAGTTTAGTAATTTAGCTTTTATATTACAGGACAAAGAACATCGAATTTTCGCAATAAAGCCAATCCCCTCAACGAACGTTTCTCCAGTGATAGTGTTCATCAATCCAAAATCCGGAGGTAATCAGGGTCTCAAGCTGCTCCAGAAGTTCCAGTGGCTGCTTAACCCGAGACAGGTGTTCGATCTGACGCAAGGAGGTCCGCGGATGGGTTTGGAGCTGTTCAAGAAAGTGCCTAATTTGAGAGTATTGGCCTGTGGTGGGGACGGTACTGTAGGATGGGTGTTAAGTGTGATAGATCAGATCGGGATATCTCCTGCTCCTGCTGTCGGAGTTTTACCGTTGGGTACGGGGAACGACTTGGCGAGAGCTCTTGGATGGGGAGGGGTAAGTAAATAAATTTGTACTATATATCTTTTGTTTATGTGCCTTGTCTGGTTTGTCTGAAGTTGGCAAACATTCTGGTGCAAGTTTAAAGAGTTTATCGATACTGCAGATATCTGTCCAATCGCGAATTTTCTTCAACAGTGATGCTTGTTTTCTACCAACACTTCCTCGTCAGTATATCTTGTCCTTGATTATGAGTTGCAAGATGTGATACTGGTTACCTCAAAGAATGTGATATAGATAGGAAATTTTATGACAGTTTATAGTTGGTTAAAGTTCCTGAATAGTATTAGCCCTGTGTAGAACCTCATCATTAAAACGTTTTTTCATACATATTTCCACCTACATTCTTTTGAGAATCTACAGGTCTTCCTCAGGAATCTACAGGTATTCCTCGTTATTGGTTGTCACCGTATTTGTATTATTATTGTACATATCTTTTATTACGTCAATTGTTATCCTGTCAACTCCTCTTTCTTTTAATGTCCTCCATACGTCCTTTCTTTGGATTCTGTCAAACGCCTTTTCCAGATCAATAAAGCATATATGTATTTCTCTATTTTTATTGATTACTTTCTCACTTATTTGTCTTATTGTGAATATGTGGTCTTATGTGCTTCTGTCATTTCTGAATCAGTAGATATACTAGGGTGATCTGAGACCAACCCCTAAATTGCAACCCCTAAAATCGCAACCCCCCGTTGCAAATGCCAAACGGCTTAACGTAGGATGACGTACGAGGGCTCGTTGGAAAGGGGATGAAAAATGGGGTTGAATGCAGTATGTGCCGTGCGCATCGGAGCATGCCAAAAGGTCATTATTGGGTATCTTCGTTTCTATTGGTCCGATTGGGGCGTACGAGGGCTCTGTGGAACGGGGAGAAGGCGGGAAGACAAAAAACAAAGATGGCGGCGTTGCCAAATGGGCGCTAAAACGTATCTTCGTTGCTATTGACCTGAGATTTTGATGTACGAGGTGTCAAAGCGTTGGTGACACACACACACACGCAGAAGCCATGTCGTCGCTTGAACATTCTTCTTCTTCTTTTCCGTACAGTGGCTAAGAGAACGTCGACGTAGGACGTGACATTCGACGCAGGACGTGACAGTTATGTGACATTCAACACAAAACGTGAAATGTTGTGACATTCGACGCAGGACGTGACAGTTATGTGACATTCATCACAGAACGTGAAATGTCACGTGAAATGACGTGACATTCTTCGCAGAACGTGAAATGTCGCGTGAATAACGTGACATTCGACGTAGGATGTGACATTCGACAAAGGATGTAAAATGTAGGAATGACGTAACAGCTATGTGTCAGTCAAGATGTCGCTTGACATAAAATATATTTAAAATTCTACGAGGAAACTAAGTTCCTGTAGCTGGCTGTATACCATATATCACAAAAAAAATTTTGTTAAAATCCTTTATAAAAGGTATATAAAAATGCCTCAAACGGGCTATCACAAACACATTGCAAAACGTTTTCGGATTAAACAATCCATCATCAGTGCAAACGGTTGTACATGCTAGTAGCCACCAAAATATATGGGTAAAAACCCTTTAAATGTTATAAATTTGAATTTGTTTTACATTATTAGTATTTCTAATTTGTGATGGATAAGTTACCGTTGGATAGGTAACGCCGCCATGTTACCTATCCAACGGTAACTTAACCATCACAAATTAGAAATACTAATAATGTAAAACAAATTCAAATTTATAACATTTAAAGGGTTTTTACCCATATATTTTGGTGGCTACTAGCATGTACAACCGTTTGCACTGATGATGGATTGTTTAATCCGAAAACGTTTTGCAATGTGTTTGTGATAGCCCGTTTGAGGCATTTTTATATACCTTTTATAAAGGATTTTAACAAAATATATTTACTTTTTTCAGAACAACACCTATTATAAGTACAGCGAATACACACGTAAAGTTGTAGCAGCAGGAACGTTTAGCTCGGAACTTTTTGGGATACCCTGCCCCAACGATGGGCTATTAAAACAATTAAGAACTTTGTTAAACAAAATTGTAACTATATACGAATAAAAATGCACCGTTTATGTTGTTGTTTTATTTAAATATTATGATTACTCTATATACTCTATACGTATGTTAAGCGACGTCTTGCGTCAAATGTCACGTCAATTCACGTGACATTTCACGTATTAAGTCGAATCTCACGTCATTTCACGTGACATTTCACGTTCTGTGTCGAATGCCACATAAATGACACGTCCTTTGTCAAATTTCACGACATTTCACGTTCTGTGTCGAATGCCACATAAATGACACGTCCTACGTCGAATGTTACGTTCTGCGAAGAATGTCACATAACTGTCACGTCCTGCGTCGAATGTCACGTTCTACGTCGACGTTCTCTTAGCCACTGTACGGAAAAGAAGAAGAAGAATGTTCAAGCGACGACATGGCTTCTGTGTGTGTGTGTGTGTGTGTATGTGTGTGTGTGTGTGTGTGTGTGTGTGTGCGCGCGTGTGTGTGTGTGTGTGTGTGTGTGTGTGTGTCACCAACGCTTTGACACCTCATACGTCAAAATCTCAGGCTAATAGCAACAAAGATACGTTTTAGCGCCCATTTGGCAACGCCGCCATCTTTGTTTTTTGTCTTGCCGCCTTCTCCCCGTTCCACAGAGCCCTCGTACGCCCCAATCGGACCAATAGAAACGAAGATACCCAATAATGACCTTTTGGCATGCTCCGATGCGCACGGCACATACTGCATTCAACCCCATTTTTCATCCCCTTTCCAACGAGCCCTCGTACGTCATCCTACGTTAAGCCGTTTGGCATTTGCAACCGGGGGTTGCGATTTTAGGGGTTGCAATTTAGGGGTTGGTCTCAGATCACCCTAGTATATCTACTTGAATCCACATTGTGTATCTTCCATAGTTGGTTCTATTTGGGTTTTTATTCTAATTTCTATTATTCTTGCGAATACCTTCCCAGAAATACTAGATAAAGTAATAACTCAGTAATTATTACAGTTTCTCTTGTCGCCATTATTGTGTATTGGTAGTATAATGTCTTTCTTCCAGTCCTGTAGTATTTCTGCTCTCTTTATGATATCATTCATTAGTTCTTTTATGCTGTCCACTACCTCTATTCCCATGAATTTTATCATTTCCTCTGGTGATATGATCCTTGCCGGGGGGCTTTGCCTAATTTAACTATTTCAATTGCATTTTCTAGTTCCTCTGTTGTTATGGATTCTACTTTTTATTCTTCATTTATTTCTTGTATCTGCACTATGTTGTCTACGTCTGTATGAGTTAGCTCTTTGAAATGTTCTCTTCATCTTTCCATTATTTGGTTTTCTTCTGTTATTACCTTTCCATTCTTGTCTTTTATATTCGGCATCATGTGTTCTTTCTTTTGTCTTAGCTGTTTTAATGTGCTATAAAAGAGTTTTTGATTTTCCCTATAATTATTTGTCATTTTTAGTCCAAACTTTTCCCATGATCTTTCTTTTTCTGCTTTCACAGCTATTTTTACCTATTTTCTTTTTTCTTTATATGCCTCATAGTCTTCAAGGCGCTTTATACTTAGATCTCTCTTTCATTTTTCTTTTTTGTTTTTTATTTTCCTTTTTATTTCGTCCGTCCACCATTCAGTTCTCCTCATGCTAGTATTTGCTATTTTTGTCTTTCAGCAAGTTTCCTCAGGAGCTATGATTAACTTGGTCTTGAGATTTTCCCACTTGTTTTCTATACTTGCAGATCCTGTTTATAACAAAACATTTTTTAAGTTACACAGAGACGTGAATAGAAAGTTACGTTTTTAACAGACCCTTTTGTGTAGTAAATTATTTCTTAACGCTGTGTATTCTTGCGCATTTCAAATTTAGTTTCTCCTGTTTTTTCTCTTGTAAAGCTAACGATGACGGTGATTTCGAAACGCATTCTGGATTTTATTAAATAAATATTATTTTTAGAATTTGTTGTTTAACTTGGAAATTAGTAATTGTTATTACAAAAAGAATATAACATTTGCAGATTAATGATATTTTTCTTCATTATAAGGATATTTTTAAAGTAAAAATAAAGCTTTTTTGACGTTTCAAAAGGACATTAACTGTTTGAAAATAGATCGACAGATAGCCCATTGGCGAAAGCAGGCACACGAAAAATGCACTAAAGCCCTAATTGAAATTGAGCTCCGCTCGACTTTAATGTATATATATACAAGGCGGCGTGTCGTAAAATTGGTAAAAAGAGTTTGACGTGTAACGGTGCAGTTGCTCCTAAAAATTGAGATTGATTATAGTTGATCGTAATTCCAGTTTGGAAATAGCTCATCAGTATCGAATGGATCGTTTAATTTTCCAGTAGAAGTCCTTTTAACTAAATATTAACTAGAATAGGAACTAAAAATCTCAAATATAATATATTTATTCATGTGAATAAATAAAAAATAAACTTCCATAAAAAATGAAAGAACTTATAGGCAACATCAGACAAAGAAGAACACTCATAACAAAAGATAATAATGGAGAAATACTTACTGGAGAGAGCAAAATAAGGGAAGTAAAAGGAACAATATATAATCCATCTGTTCCATGACAAGAGGGAAAATGAACAAGATATAGGTGAAGAAGAGAAATACCTACCAATTTTATCATCAAAAGTAAAGCATGCTCTTCAGAATACAAACAAGTAAAAGCACCGGGTCTTGATCAAATTCCAGTTTGGACTGTTAAATGCCTTAGATGACGGTAATATAAAGAGACTCACCCGAATTCTCAACCACATATATGTATCATAGCTCCATAATGGCAAGGGCAGCGTTCTTAAAATTCAAGCAATTGTTCTCTAACATAAATCTGAATACTGCGCTGAGACTCAGGTTTGTTAAATTTTACGTCTGGTCCCAACTATTCTACGGGGTAGAAACATGGACGTTAAAAGCCCAAATAGTTAAGAAACTTGAAGCCGTTAAACTTTGCATATAACGGAGAATTTTGGGAATTCCA